GCAGGCAGAAAGTTTTCTGTGAGGGGTAGGTTTAAGTGTAGGGTTGGTGTAGGGCAATAGAAAATACAGTTTGTACAGTATAAAAACCATTACGCCTATGGGGAGTCCCCACAAGGATAGTTAACCAGATTGTGTGTGTGTGTGTGTGTGTGTGTGTGTGTGTATGTGTGTCAACCTGAAGATGTGAGTCTCCGAAAGCAATGCGTTAACCAGGCTGTCAGATCTTAATGAAGTGTCCTGGTGAGCCATATCAAAAGGGCTTTCCCGGCACACACACATGCGCGCACAGATATCATGCTGATAAGTGGTGACGCGGATGGGATCAGTGCGGGGGGCTGATGTGAGTTGACAGATGGGCTCTGTGACGCCCGTGTATTGAGGTCTTTCTAATCGATTAGTTTTAGTTAAGTGCACTCTCAGATGATTGTGTCGTGTCTTTATCGTTCCCCTCCGCAACACCGACAACCTCTGGTGCCTCCCTCCCACTCGCTGCCAGCCTCCGCCTGTTTGTGCAGAGGAAATCTATTATCTGAAATGATCAAATCTCAGTGGCACTTATTCTGTCTCTCTCCAGTGTATGACATTCACTTCAATTACAGGACAGAGAATCCAGTAGACAATGTGTTTTGGGCACAGTGCTTTTTTGGAGGATGCTGTTTGTAGGAGAACGAGAAAAGAGACTTGGTTATTACTTGTGTGCTTTCTCTCTCTCAGCGTTCCCAGGGGCAGTTATTATGGTCAGTACCTGTGGGCATGGTTGGTTTGTGGCACAGACTGTCTTGCTCTCCAGGGCTCATTATTACAGCATGGCCAGTCGCCCCAGGACGGGGATTGGCCTCACTCGCTCTCCCACTGTCTTTCTCTCTTCTCTGGACTCTGGATAGACACAGTTCCCTACGGTAGCAGCAACAGTACCCTTAAACTTCCACCAGACTGTTCAGGCCCTTACAGAAATGTGCTCATTCCCCATAATCCTCTGCTTTCCAGCTCAGACAAAATGTATAATGCTTTATTTAAAGGTGATGTGTGCAATTTTTCGATGTTAAAATACTTTATCCTATCCTAGAAAGTATATGTAAGCCATTTGTAGGTTGATTTCCCCCGAAAGAGTAAAAACTAGGAGTGTGTGGCACTTTCTAATCATTGCTGTTTGTTTGAGCAGCCAGAGTTTGGAGTGGGGCCAACTGACCGGCTGACTTTAGTTTCGTAATAAACACCTTTATATGGTCTTTTTGGTCTATTGGGCATGATATTCTAATAAAAGTTGTCTTCATCTAAATATCTAAAGTAGCTCAGTATTAAAACACTACATGGTGCAAGCTGATAGGTCCTTGACATGCAAACTGTTAGCAATCCCATAATTTCCTACATGGAACAAGCTGATTGACCTCTTACTCAATATTTAAATAGTGTTTGGTGTAAGCTGGTCCTGCAGTGCATCAAAGTTAATCTGAAACCCTCCACCTCCCCCAGCACCACCTGTCTAGATCTGCTTGCAGGTTGCTTATTGCTGCTGCAGCAGCATATCTTACATGCTCACAGCAGCATGTCCATGTATCTATTGGCAGCAGCAAGTCCATATTTGTTCTGCAGCAGCGCACATAACAGATGAAGTCCACCAAGACCGAATACATTGGTATTGCCGGTCAAATCTATATACATTGGTCATATCCATTAACATGCTAAAACAATTCTGAGAGTTGTCATGAGCTGTCAAAAAAAAAAACTTATTTTTTACTGATATCACCAAACATTTCTACTTTCTAAGATTTGTTTGTGCCATTTTATGCCTTTTTATTTACATAGGTCAGTTGAAGAGTGTACAGGATGTGAAGTGGAACCACAAGCAAGAATTCAAATTCTTGTCACTCAAAGCGCAACCGCACTGTCGAAATGCTGCCCATGAGGCCATCAGGTCTGACAAGCACTTTTATTATGACAAACATGTGTCATAACCACCTTATTTTTAACATAAGAGCCGGAGCAGCTATTTTTAACCAGAATGTGCAAGCCTTCTGGTGTCAGCTGCTTCCAGGTATTTAAGCTATGCGAAAACAAACCCAGGCTAATTGTAGAGAAAAAAAACCTGCCTGTGGCAACATTTTTGCAAAAAATATATATATTACATCGCTTGCATGTTACACAACAGTGAGTGGCTATAAAAAACACAATCAGTTGTATTCGAAATGTGAATCTGGCAATGTTTTATTACGTTAACTGTTGTATGTATCACAGCAGTTCGGAATTGAAATGTCCAGTGAGTGGTGCTAAAAGGTTAATGCTCTATTTTTGCAAACATTTTTCAAACTAGCCTATGTTGACTGTCTGTTATGCTACTTAATATTGCAAACTGGTTTTTATCATAATAGTATTTGAATCTATTATCATAATCATGAACACACTGGTTTATATCGCAAAATTGTCTCATATACACAAGAAATAGCTTTCCCTTTCATGGGAACGTCGAACTGCGTCCTCTAGGGGTCGCTATGGGGAATGCCTCATCATGACCCGTGTCTGAAGCATACATTGAAAAAACACCAACAACACGTTGGCCGGCGACAGCCATGACGTCACTACCGGTGCGACTATAGTATAAATAGGTGCCGGGAGAACACATCATCCTCTTCTTCGTCTTCATTGACTGTTTTGTTTGAAGCGTGCATTTCTGTGGTAAGAGCGATCTCTATTCATATCATTATGGCGAGCACTAGCAAAGCTGCCCCTTCAAGCTACATCTAAGTTGAATGGCAGGGCATACGCAGCAGCTGGTCAGGCTGTTGCTTCGCTGCACACGATGGCGGTGCTCCAAGCATATCAGGCTGACCTGCTGAAAGACCTGGATAAAGGCGAGGGCCTTTCTCCTGATGAGGTAGCTGAGTGCGCCGCACCATGGATCTCGCTATCCGTGCTACTAAGCAGGCCTCCTCTGCTAGCGGCAGATCCATGGCGGCTATGGTAGTGACGGAGGGAAATCTGTGGGTGAACCTAGCAGATACCGGGAAAAAAGAGAGGGGCTTTGTTCTCGATGCACCGGTTTCACCTTCCGTATTTTTGGTACCTCCGTTGAGATGGTGGTCGAGAAGTTCAGGGAGGCAAAGGCGCACTCAGCAGCCTTCACGAAGGTCCACGTCTGAACCCGAACAACCCAGGGGTCCTGGCCCGTCTCGGTTTGAGGATCAGAGACGGGCACAGAAGGCTAGTGTCGCAGCTCGCGCTCCTCCACCGCCCGCGGGTAAGGGTAGGAAGAATCGCGGGTCAAATGAAGGTAGGTAAAAGACCTAAGGGATGTGATCCAGACAGGGCGTCAGCGCTTTTGTCCGGGATCAGTGATACCTCAGTATCTACTCATTTCCTTCGGGGTCTTCTTACATCTGCCCTTATCTTCCCCTTCCTAATTCCCCTGTAACCACCATCTCTCCACCTGACCGAGGTTAGGTGGGAATTTCCTGCATTACAGTCTCCTATGCTGGACCTATAATGTTTGGTTGGTTCTATGGCTTCATAGTGACCACCTTACTGATGGTCCGGACTAGAGGCTTACTTTCTAAAATCCACATAGCTGGTAAGTGTGCACGTTATGCTTTGCCCACTTTTCTAAAATCCTGTATGGTAAGAGCTACGCGCAGAGACTTCGTGCTCTTTTTGAGTGGTTTAAAACCCCGGTTCCGCCTTGGGCACCACTCCTCCTATGTATCCTCTGGATACCTACTTTAACAGGGTGTTGCTACTAGGGGTCTGTTGAGACAGTTCCTTCAGCACATACAAAGAGAAACGTGCGGTAGCCCCTGTGTGACAGGCTAAACTTAGTATGATTCTAGGCTCTTGGTCGTATTCCCTTAAAATAATCTATTCCTGATTCCAAGCCTTGAGCTCTACCCCGGGCCCAGGAGTTCTGGCCCTAACAGGTAAGTTTTTGGGGTATGTAGCCTAGGCCTTTGGCCGTAGGGAATAATGTCACTGACAGCCGTCTAATGTCCCGGGGCAACTCCCATGGCAATATGGTAAAGTTGGTACTTAGTGCTCGCCATGGTTTCTGGCATGCACTCCTCTCAGCATGGTGGCGTGGGTATACTGTTCCCCATAGCGACCCCTAGAGGACGCAGTTTGAAGTTCCCATGAAAGGGAACGTCTCAGGTTACGTATGTAACCATGGTTCCCTGAGTAGGAAATGAGACACTGTGTCCTCTAGGTTTCTTGCCATGCTGCGGACGCAAGCTTCAGACGAAGAAGTGAATGAAGTGTGCTCCCGGCGCCTATTTATACTATAGTCGCACCGGTAGTGACGCCATGGCTGTCGCCGGCCAACGAGTTGGTGTTTTTTCAATGTATGCTTCAGACACGGGTCACGACGAGGCGTTCCCCATAGCGACCTCTAGAGGACGCAGTGTCTCGTTCCCTACTCAGGGAACCATGGTTACATACGTAACCTGAGACGTTCTCTCACATTAAAAATAAATAGATAAATAAGGTGGATAGAGACGATTCATGATTCAATTGATTCCTAATGGATTTCTCAATGAATATCTGTCGCAATATGGAAGTTAAGTGTGTTGCAAACTCATTTCAAGTGGAACATAGAATTTCTAACTAATCAAAATAGCTTTTCTTAGCAATTAGCACAATGCTACGCTAGTAAGCTAAGCTGTTACCTTGCAAGCAAAAGGCTAATTGATAACACACAAAAAGAGTAATTTGACCATTTTTAGCATTTGTAATATGTGGCGTGTGATGTGTGATTTAAAAGACATTAACATATTTTCTCGATTAAGAATAAATACACCATGAAGCGATTTTATTTCATGTTATAACCTACTATAAAGTCTCAGTCAGTGGATTCTGTGGGGAGATAGAGTCTTGCATGACACTAGCTGATATATAACTGCAATTATTTGTTTAAAGGAAAGTTTTATGTGCAGATGTGGTAGCTATAAGCTCTGACCTGATAGTCGTACCTTTCTCCATGATGGTGGGTGATTAATGGGAGGATGGATGACAGGAATATATAAAAGAAAACAAAGGATCAATAAGCTGTTTCCTGCTGTTTTAATGGACCGTGATTGGATTGGGTCACTGTTTGGATGGGCTCAAAGGAATATACAACTTACCAATTTAGTAAAAACACTATATTAGATAAAACAGTATATTACAGTATATTAGATATTTACTTAACGTATGTATCTTAAGCTTGAAACTGGTTAACCGCTTTATCTATTCAAGCACAATAATTGCTGTTATTGATTTGACAATTTAAATTTTAGTATCTTTTCATACCTTTTTATGAATTATCCAAATGGACTCTGTAGGCTGCTGGATTCCTTGTATGAACTCATAACTGTAGCTGGTGTTTGTTTGAGAACAGCCCATTAAATGAACCATGGAGGGCTTTCCTGAGTGGGGTGTGCATTAGCAATGAGCAAAACCAGGTGGTAAACTTCTCTAGCTTTAATTAAAATCCCTTAATTCCAGCGTTTGAACCCCAGGCTGTATTTCACAGGCGAGAGGGAGGCAGTCCGGAAGCTTTGCTCGGCTCTGATGCATGGCCCCCTGTTGACATGCACTAATTTTGATATATACGAGCGGATGAATCTCTAATTACGTTTTGGCATGGTCTCTGAAGTTATTTAGCATTGTACTTAATTATTTTTATCCTGACGCTTTAACAGTAAAGTACTGTGGTGTAAATTAGTCAGACCCAACTCTTTTTTTTTTCTCATTGAAACACATTGATAAAATTTGCTCTATTTATTTATTTATTTATTGTGTATATAAGCTTTTTATTGTGTATATTAGCTATTTTATTATTTATGTGTATATAAGCTTTCAGGACCTGAGAAAATATACTTTCTTAATTGTTCATTTATGTATTTAATGGTTGCTTAAAGGCCAATAATATTTTAATGGCAGAGCTGATTGGTTGCTCATACAGCAAGAGTCCCCTGATGGTTCAGCGGAGCCCAGGTGTCGTGTCGTTTCCTGTGTAATTGAACTCACAGTGCACAGAACCTCTTGTTGCTCGTCAACACAAACATTTACACGGCCACACAGCTCACCTGAGATACAGTTTAATTGTTCCTAATTAAAGTTGTACATGAATTGCCTGTAATTAAACACGTGCACAGTTCATTAGTGCTCCCTAAAACAAAAGGGCTTCATTTTTATGTGTGTATAATTGTCATGCAAATGAATCTATGTTGCTCTATAGGGAATCTTTCTTTCCCTAAGGTCGTAGTTAGAAAGGTGTACCTGGTCTGCACTATAATATACATTACAATGAATTGAAATATTTATTTTTCCATTTATTTGTCTTTCTCTAAATGTATTATTTTAAATAAAAATAAAACCAAGTAAAAATAAGTAGTGCTCTCAGCTAGCAATTTCTGAGTGAAAATTGTTTCAAAGTAATTCTAACACCATTTTTTCAGTGTACTCTCATGTTGTTTTTGTATTTTTTTTTTTCTTTGGTGGAACACAAAATAAGACATTTTGAGTTTGATTCAACTGTACAAAGTCATTTTGGACCCCAGTGATTTTCCTCAATGAAAAAAAAAAAAACATTCATTTTTCAAAAAGTAATATTTTACCAGCCTGTTACCATAAATGAAATACAAATTTGTATTAGTAAACATGAAAAGCATGGACTTAATACAACATGTAGTCTACTTTCAATGCAATGCAATACAATACAATACAAAAGAGAAAAAAAAGACTAACATTATGTAATTGCATTAGTTATATGGATCAATTTTAGAACTCTGGAATGGATCAAGCCAATAAAGGAAAACGACTCATGATTTTCAAACTATGAAATCTCAAAAGGCTTTTTAAAGATAACCAATTAAGCAGAATAGGTGCCAATGAAAAATAATGCAATCATCTCTTGTCTTGAAGAACAGCTCAGAAAGCAGGAAAGCCTGGGAAAACTGCTTACTGCCATCTTGCAAAAAATTACACACAAAGAAAGGGTAGACTCTCTGAAGGATTAACACTTAATTACGGCTTAATTAGCATAATTATGCATGCTAATAGCATCTCAAATGGATAGCGGTTGTCGAGAGGATTGAACCATCTGTAATTGTAGGGGATTAATACATCATTTTTTATTTCCAGCATCATTGTAACTCTCTTCCTCTTGCAAGTGCCTCTCATTAATCAGTTTCACTTATATTACGTTTAAATTTTGGTGCTTTTTTCATAATACATCATTAGGGTCATTGCTGCACAGCTATGAGACAAGACTAATGAGATCTCAGGTGGATCCTTATAACTGAACAAAAGCAAAGAACAGGTGAACCCTCTTCAGAGTGAATTTGAACTGAACATGTTTGGGATGAACTGGGAGTGGAAGAATTCGCTGGGAGTATAAAGACCAACTGGGAGTTTTTATGGTTAACTGGCACGGTAGACATTAACTGAGTGCAGAATCTGCAAACAATAAATAAGAATGCAAGGAATAACTGAGTGTGTAGACGTCAACTGGGAAGTCTTGAGGTTGAACTGGGAGTGTGAGGGTGAAGTGGGAGTAAAGAGATCAACTAGCAATAAAACACTGTGCTTAATGGAAACGAGTTGCACAATGCAACGCAACAAAAGTCAATAGAACGCATTATAATCAGTCATTCTGTCTACACTGGATGTACCGTGGTGCAATGAGACAAGTCTGATACCATGTTGTATTTGTATTTATAACGTACTTCACAAGCCTACACTACTTCTGACACAAAAGACAAATGAATTTGCAACTGTAAAATTTGACACAACCAGTGTGGACGGCCTCAGGCTATTGCAGCACATCAACAGAGATGACTTTCGGTGTAGGTACGGTGTAAGGTTGAACTTGGAGTGTGGAGATTAAGGCCCCAATATACTTGAAGCAAAATTATAAAACAAATATTTGTGTCAAACAAAATCTGGACAAAATGAAGGTGTTTTGTAGTTTCTTTCAATAGTAAGAAACAGTTAGCCAGCGCAAATTTTCCGGAAAACTTTTATCCAGCTGTTAAACACCATTGAATTACCATTGGTCCGTGACAATTAAGTAACTGCTCTTTCCTCACCATTGTTATTTTTGTTGAGTTATTTAGAGATATACTGCTCCTAGCAGCATGGATGGCGTTGTATGCTCACAAGCGGTATACTTGTGTGCAGCTATTTCCAACTTCTGATTATTCCTGAGAGAAGAATGAAGAAGAATTTTGGCGAGAATATATTGGGACCTTAAATGAGAGTGTGAAGAGTAAACTGTTATAAAAGAGATTAGATAAGACATGATGGTAAATTGGTGGTACAGAGATTAAATGACAGTAAGAGGGTAAATTTGGAGTATAGAGATTAACTTGTGGAGGGTGAACTGTGGATGTAGAGATTAACTGCAAGTGTAGAAGGTAAACTAAAGATTATCTGGGACTGTAGAAGCAAATCTTGAAGTGGACTGTAGAAGGTGGGAATGTAAACTGGGAGTGTACAGATTAACTGGAAGTGTAGAAGATAAACTGGGAGTGTACAGATTAACTGGAAGTGTAGAAGATAAACTGGGAGTGTACAGATTAACTGGAAGTGTAGAAGATAAACTGGGAGTGTACAGATTAACTGGAAGTGTAGAAGATAAACTGGGAGTGTACAGATTAACTGGAAGTGTAGAAGATAAACTGGGAGTGTACAGATTAACTGGAAGTGTAGAAGATAAACTGGGAGTGTACAGATTAACTGGAAGTGTAGAAGATAAACTGGGAGTGTACAGATTAACTGGAAGTGTAGAAGATAAACTGGGAGTGTACAGATTAACTGGAAGTGTAGAAGATAAACTGGGAGTGTACAGATTAACTGGAAGTGTAGAAGATAAACTGGGAGTGTACAGATTAACTGGAAGTGTAGAAGATAAACTGGGAGTGTACAGATTAACTGGAAGTGTAGAAGATAAACTGGGAGTGTACAGATTAACTGGAAGTGTAGAAGATAAACTGGGAGTGTACAGATTAACTGGAAGTGTAGAAGATAAACTGGGAGTGTACAGATTAACTGGAAGTGTAGAAGATAAACTGGGAGTGTACAGATTAACTGGAAGTGTAGAAGATAAACTGGGAGTGTACAGATTAACTGGAAGTGTAGAAGATAAACTGGGAGTGTACAGATTAACTGGAAGTGTAGAAGATAAACTGGGAGTGTACAGATTAACTGGAAGTGTAGAAGATAAACTGGGAGTGTACAGATTAACTGGAAGTTTAGAAGATAAACTGGGAGTGTACAAATTAACTGGAAGTGTAGAAGATAAACTGGGAGTGTACAGATTAACTGGAAGTGTAGAAGATAAACTGGGAGTGTACAGATTAACTGGAAGTGTAGAAGATAAACTGGGAGTGTACAGATTAACTGGAAGTTTAGAAGATAAACTGGGAGTGTACAAATTAACTGGAAGTGTAGAAGATAAACTGGGAGTGTACAAATTAACTGGAAGCATTAAAGGTAAAGTGGGAGTGTACAGATTAACTGAGACTGCAGATGGGAAACTGGGAATGTAGAGATTAAGTGGGAGTATAGAGGGTGAACAGGCAGTAAAGACATTAGTTGTGAATGGATAGTGAGTTGGGAGTACAGAGATGAACTAGAAATGCAGACAGTAAACTAAGTAGAGTCTGGGTGTGAGGAAATTAACTAAAAGTGAGATTAAGTGAAATAAATTGGAACTGGGATTGCACAGATTAAATGGGACTCTGGAGGGTGCACTGGAGTGTGAAGTAGGATTGCTAATATTGACTAGGGTAGGGCTCTTCAACTCTGGTCTCGGAGAGTCACTGCAGCAGAGTTTAGCCCGAGCCCTAATTAAACACACCTGAACAAGTTAACCAAGATCTCTGGGATTATGAGAAAATCAAAGGGAATTTGACTGGGGTTGGAGCTAAACTCTGCATGACAGTTGCCCTCCAGGACCTTTGGGAATTGGAAGTTTAGCAATTAACTGTGTGGATAGGGAGTGTAGAGATTAACTAAGGCTGTGACTGAAATCACTGCACATACCCTTATAGTGTACTATTTGGGAGGACAGGCATTTGTTGTGGTGTCTGAAACCCATATCGGACATTAACAAGTGCACTCATTCAATCCCATAATGCACCACAATAATGGGTGTACAACCAATGTACACTCAACGGGTAACTGCTAGACAATACCCATGCACTGTGAGGATCACACGAAGGAAATGCTACTTCTCACCAGAAGATGTCTGCAGTACTGTAGGGAAGTAATGTAGGGGAGAGCAAATATAAGGAATAGCAATTAATGTAGGGAACAGCAAATAAAGGTAGCGATTTGGCAGCTTTTCTATATTTCAATTTGCACATAATATACCTGTACATACAACTGTCTATTGTTCTATACCTGGACATACAATTGTCGATTGTCGATTTGTATATTTTTTATTCCTTATTTTACTTGTTCTATTTTGTATTTTTTTTTAATTTTATTTTTTTATTATCTGTGTTTTTTTGTTCTGTCACTGTCATTCTGTTACACTGTGGAAGCTTCTGTCACGAAAACAAATTCCTTGTATGTGTAAACATACCTGGCAATAAAGCTCATTCTGATTCTGATTCTGATTCTAAAGGTATAGGGGGTCAATTTCAGGAACAGTATAAAAGTGTGGGTGAATTTGGGAGTGTAGAATTTGAACTGTGAGTGTAGAGACAAACTGGGAATGAAGGGATTAACAAGAAATGTTAAGGGTTAACTGTGCAAAACTGTAACATCTTTCTCAATATTTGGACACAGCAATATCCATTGTAATATTAACTAAAAATAAACATTAAAAATGTCTGTGCAATTAAATGAACATTAATTCAAAGTAAAATCATGATACTGTATCACTATTTAATTCACGAAGTCCCTTGTTAAATAAATAAAAGATGATAAAAAGTTGTTCTTGATAACATGTGTCACCGCTATCTACTCCATGACTTTAAACCAGCATTGACAGTTTCCAAAAGCCGTTGAGGATCTTCTGCTTGTCTTGTTCAGACACGGCGATCAATAGCGTTTTCTGCAGGGACTGGATCGGCCGGCAGAACTGAAGATGATATGAGGAGAGGGGAGAGAGGGAGAGGAAGGTCTATATATATATATATATATATAAACTGGGATCCAAGTCATCTAGCACTCTAGCATTTGAATGGGCAAATGTCACACAGAGTTTCTCCAGAAAAAGTACAAATATAGTATATCATGATCTGGTAAAATGCAATGTGTTTTAGATACATCTGTTTCAATGTTTTATTAAAAAATTTGCTTCAAAAGTAATTTCTACTGAAAAACAAGACAAGACAAAACAATGTAATAAAATTAACTTATTTATGTCTGTGTCTTAAACACTAGAGGCTCATGATGTGAGATAGGAAAAAACAGACTTAACAGTACAAGTTTTATTATAGACCACTGAATATCATTTTATTCATTGATTTAAAGTAAAGGAAAATTATATTTTACTGGAAAACAAGACAAAAGAAAGATCAAGACAATTATTTTTGCAGGTTATGTTTACATTTGGCATTCATGTGGTCCTTGACACATGAACACACATGTCAGAACCCACCCAATAGTACCAGCCTATCAGAAGAACCCCATTAGTACTATATGTCCATTATATATATGCCTTGTCCAAATACCAACACTTGCTGTCTTTGCACTTGACCACTTCATTACTTATATGACGTATTTCCTGTATTTGGCCCAAGTGTTCAAGTGAGAATGAAGACCACAAGTGTGTGTCAAACTTTTCATTACCTGATGGGACACACTTGTAGTGTTGTAAAAATGCAAGTGTTTACATAGCTTTATTTT